TCAGGGGGGCTGCAGGGGCTCAGGGGGGCTGGAGAGGCTCAGGGGGGCTGGAGAGGCTCAGGGGGGCTGGAGGGGCTCAGGGGGGCTGGAGAGGCTCAGCAGGGATGGAGAGGCTCAGCAGGGATGGAGAGGTTCAGAGGGGCTGGAGAGGCTCAGCAGGGATGGAGAGGCTCAGGGGGGCTGGAGAGGTTCAGAGGGGCTGGAGAGGCTCAGCAGGGATGGAGAGGCTCAGAGGGGCTGGAGAGGGCCCCTCTGGGGGCACAGAATCCCAGAGTCATTCCAGTTGGAAAAGCTCTCCAAGGTCATTGAGCCCAAGCTGTGCCCGATGCCCACCTTGTGACCCAGCCCAGAGCTCCAAGTGCCACATCCTGAGCCCTTCCTTGGGCACTGCCAGGGATGGGGACTCCAATACTTTCCTGGGCAGCCCTTTCCAACGTTTAACAACTCTCTGTGAAGAAATTCCTCCTGAAGGCCAGTCCAGTTTGGGTGGGTGGCTCTGGGGGTGACAGCATCATTCCCTGGCCTCGTGTTTTTGAGGCTCAGGTTGGCCCCAAGAACACACATCCCAAGGATACCAATCCTGTTCCTGCTGTGGGTTTAATGGAATTCTCCTTCATTCTCCCAGGTTCAGGAGCTGCTGGAAAAGGCATCAGACTCCAGAGTAAGCATACAGTTCCCTTCATGTTTTCTAACCATGTGTCCTAAGAGCTGTTCAAAGTCCTGGGCTTGGTCAGGGATTTGGTTGTATCCTTATCTTTGCAGATAAGTGGTGGGTTATTCTTGGCTCTCTGCCTCTGCCCCATTCCCCCTCCTGCTTTGCTGGCTCCAGAGGAGTCTGGGACTGCATCTGCCTTAGTCATGATTTGTCTGCACCGTGCTTTGCCTTTTGTGCTCTCTTTAGGAGAAGCACAGTCCTTGTTGAAAAAGTATGTTAACGCTCAGTTTGGGGAAAAGATCATTTTATGGCTGTTGCAAAAGAGCTTTGCCTTCGCTGTTCCCATGGACAGCATTCCCTGCAGCCACAAACCCATCCCTCTCCAGCCTCAACCTCAGCAACCACAGGCTGAGTCTTTCAGGGTCAACAAACAAAGAAATTTGCTGTCTGGTATTTGGTTGTGGGCAAGCTAAGACTGAAGTGCTGCGTGGGGGAAGAGAGAATTGTTGTTCCAACCTGAGTGTTCCCTCTGCTTACAGATTCTGTCGTCTTGTCCAGACATCAAGTGGCATTTTATTGGCCACCTGCAGAAGAGCAATGTCAACAAGCTGATTGGTAAATCCTGGTTGGTTTTATGTGGGCAGTGATATTCCAGTGTTCCCATGTGTCAGGGAGGCTCAGGCTGGAGATCAGGGCAGGGTTCTTCCCCCAGAGGTGCTGGCACTGCCCAGGCTCCCAGGGAATGGGCACAGCCCTGAGGCTGCCAGAGCTCCAGGGATGCCCAGGGTGGGATGTTGGGGGGTCTGTGCAGGGCCAGCAGTTGGACTGGGGATCCCTTGCGGCTCAGGATAGTTCAGGATTCTCTGAAACAATAACCATGAACTCACAAATGCCTGTTGGAGCTACAAACAATCCCATGCCAGCAGAATTCCCTCAGCCTGTGTTTTCTCCCCAGCTGTCCCAAACCTGTTCATGCTGGAAACGGTGGATTCTGTGAAACTGGCAGATAGAGTCAACAGCTCGTGGCAGAAAAAAGGGTCATCCCAGAAGCTGAAGGTCATGGTGCAAGTGAACACCAGTGGGGAGGACAGTGAGTGGCTTTTTGTGACATGTGCATGTTTGTCCTGCTGGACAGGGAACTTGAACGGCCTGAGCTGCTTTGTGCTCTGAAAGCATTTCTGTGGCAGAGCTGGGCAAGGAGCTCCCTGTTCTTTTCCAGGCAAGCACGGCCTTCCCCCTGGGGACACCACGGCTGCTGTGGAGCACGTCATCAACAAGTGCCCCAGCCTGGAATTCGTGGGGCTGATGACCATCGGCAGCATCGGGCATGACCTCAGTAAGGGGCCAAATCCTGACTTCCAGGTAAGATTTTCTCAGAGAAAATGTCACTGTGGGCTGGTTTCCTGTCACAGTTTGTCTGTCCCAGTCGAACCAGTCAGGGTGTCAGGATGTGGGAGCACCTTGTGCAGGGTAGTGCAGAGCCCTCAGTACCAGTGTTTGTGCAGGGTGTTGCTCCCACCCATCCTCTGAAGCTGCAGCCAGGATTTTGGCAGGGATGTTTGCTGCCACCTGTGCAGCAGTTGCTGTGCTGGTGCCCCTGGTCCAGGTGAGGTTTCAGCCTCGTGTGTGCTGTCAGTAAATCTGGGAAACCTCCAGATTCTGTTACGGTGCTTCCGTGGGAAGTGTGGGAAGTGCACGTTGTGTGTGAAGGAGGCTTCAGGGACAGGCAGGAATCAGGATCTGTGGCACCCTGGAACGAAGCTGGCATGGCTGTCCAGGTGTGTGACCCTCTGCTGTCCCCTCATGCCCTGCAGGTGCTGCTGTCCCTGCGGCAGGAGGTGTGTGACAAGCTGAACCTGCCCGTGGACAAGGTGGAGCTGAGCATGGGCATGTCCACGGACTTCCAGCACGCAGTAAGTGTGTTCCGCCCTTCCCTCGGGGAGCAAACGTGCCTGCACCCCAAATTCCAGCCCAGGTGCTGCCCAGACAGGCCTCTAAGGCTTCCCTTTGGATGGAGATCCCAGCGCAGCTCTGCTGGTCCTGGGGGAGATTCCTGGGATCAAAGCAGCCCCGGGTGTAGCTGTGGGTGGTGAGTCCGTGGGGAACCACCCTGTGAGAGCCGTGGGGTGGTGGCAGCCCTGCCCTGAGCTGCTCCTCTCTGTCTCTTCCAGATAGAGGTTGGATCTACGAACGTCAGGATCGGGAGCACCATTTTTGGAGAGCGGGATTATTCCAACAAAGCCCCCGCTGGAAGTGGAGGCCAAACAGAGGCCATGACAGTGCAGGGCCACTAAAGGGAAAGAAGTGGCCTCGTCAGAGGAGAGACCTCGCTGTGGGAGACCTCACTATGCATTTTACCTCCCTCCTTGTCAGCACTCCATCCTGATGGTGGAGAGGGAATTCCTCGGAACAGAGGCCAGAAATGCCTCACAATCATTGTGATTATAGAGTACCCCTAGAAACTGGAAATCTTGATAACCAACAAATGACAAGGAAATTGAGGGTTGGAAGTGGCTGTGGTGTCTTGGTTCCTCAGGGTCATCAAGGACAGAGACTTTGGGGTAACAAACAAGTGTTTGTCAGGCTGGAGTTGCTGCTGAGCAAGGTGGGTGTTGCTGCAGCAGTGCTGGTAGTTGTTTTCACTGAGGACTAAATACTTCATTGAACACATTATGATCTTGCCAGAAACCTCTAAATGTTTCCCCAAACACAAGTTTTGCACGTGGGGTGGTTACGTAGGAGCTGGGGCCGTGCTGTGACGGGGAGGGGCCGTGGCCATGGAAAAGGGGTGAGTGACAGGCACAGGGGACTGTGAGGAGCTCAGCTGCTGCTGTGAGTTCATGCTGTGGTGTTTTGGCTGCACATCACAAGTGTGGGAGTGTCCTTTCAGCTCAATTTTGTCCTTTTCAGGCTGACACTAACTTTTCCCATGGCTCTGTGACTGCCCAAATCTGGAATGCTTTCCCCCTTCCCTTCCTTTCCCCTCCTCTGTTGTTGGGAATTATTTTCATCCTTCCTAGTAGTTTTGCTGCTGTTTTTTGGTCAGAATTGGGGTTTTCTGCCAAGCCTCTGCTCTGCCACCAGCTTCCTGCTGCTTTCCAAGGTGAGTCCCACATGGTTTGGTGCCTGTGCCATCCCCTGTACACCTGTGTGAGGATAACAGTGTTTGGCTCAGGGCAGCAGGGAGCTTTCCTTGGGAAAATACTTCAGGAAAGGAAATATTATTGTCCCACTGCATTCTGGGTTCCTGGAAAAAATCATTTGGTCTGTCAGAGAGTTTTCAGGCTGTGTCTTAACATCCTTTCCTGCTCTTGGAAGAGGGAAATGGGACTGTCACTGCCGTAGCTTTCCTTCAGCTGTGAGCAGCTGCTCCTGCGTTGTTGTGCTGCTTGGCCAGCCCCACAACCCGTGTTACAGCTGATTTTTGGGCTTTTGTGTCTGCCAGAGGAGGAGAGCTGGGCTGCCAGCAGGAACATCCTCCCCAGGCTTTGCTCTGTGTGCGTGTGGTTAAATCTCGCCGTCGGTTTCACTCTCTAAAAGCTGAATGTAAATGAAAAGAGTCAACTCCAACACCAAACCTGTCGTAGCTCCGTGGTTTAGAAGCACTGTGGGGTCAGAGCCTCCTCCTCGCACTGTGCCATGTGTGGTTCATAGTCTAGTAATACCGTGGTGAGTTTTAATGCCATCTGTGCCAACTCAGAAGCTATTAAAGATGTTATTTTTATGTTCCAGCGTGGTGAATAAACGCCCTGAGCTGCCCTCGGAGCTGTTTCCCCAGCCTGGGGCCGCTGTTGGAGGGAGGAGGGTCGGTGGGAAGGCAGCCCAGGCGAGGCTGGCCCGGAAAGCGATGCGGGTTTTGCTCGGGGAGGTGGCGCTGCCGGTCCCAGAACCGCCGTGTGCTCACCTGGCTCAGGTGCAGAGCCCTGGCAGCGCTCGGGGCTCCCTGCGCGGGGCTGGGGCACGGCGCCGGCCCCGGGGATGCGCTTTGCCCGGGGACACCTCTCTCCTCCCGCCGGGCTGGTCCCCGGGGAGCAGCCGGG